CTCCAGTCCAGCACACCCTAGGGCTGTCATTCCACTGTTGGCCCTGTCATTCCAGCTCCTGAACACTCCTGGCACACCCTAGGGCTGTCATTCCACTGTTGGCCCTGTCATTCCAGCTCCTGAACACTCCTGGCACACCCTAGGGCTGTCATTCCACTGTTGGCCCTGTCATTCCAGCTCCTGAACACTCCTGGCACACCCTAGGGCTGTCATTCCACTGTTGGCCCTGTCATTCCAGCTCCTGAACACTCCTGGCACACCCTAGGGCTGTCATTCCACTGTTGGCCCTGTCATTCCAGCTCCTGAACACTCCTGGCACACCCTAGGGCTGTCATTCCACTGTTGGCCCTGTCATTCCAGCTCCTGAACACTCCTGGCACACCCTAGGGCTGTCATTCCACTGTTGGCCCTGTCATTCCAGCTCCTGAACACTCCTGGCACACCCTAGGGCTGTCATTCCACTGTTGGCCCTGTCATTCCAGCTCCTGAACACTCCTGGCACACCCTAGGGCTGTCATTCCACTGTTGGCCCTGTCATTCCAGCTCCTGAACACTCCTGGCACACCCTAGGGCTGTCATTCCACTGTTGGCCCTGTCATTCCAGCTCCTGAACACTCCTGGCACACCCTAGGGCTGTCATTCCACTGTTGGCCCTGTCATTCCAGCTCCTGAACACTCCTGGCACACCCTAGGGCTGTCATTCCACTGTTGGCCCTGTCATTCCAGCTCCTGAACACTCCTGGCACACCCTAGGGCTGTCATTCCACTGTTGGCCCTGTCATTCCAGCTCCTGAACACTCCTGGCACACCCTAGGGCTGTCATTCCACTGTTGGCCCTGTCATTCCAGCTCCTGAACACTCCTGGCACACCCTAGGGCTGTCATTCCACTGTTGGCCCTGTCATTCCAGCTCCTGAACACTCCTGGCACACCCTAGGGCTGTCATTCCACTGTTGGCCCTGTCATTCCAGCTCCTGAACACTCCTGGCACACCCTAGGGCTGTCATTCCACTGTTGGCCCTGTCATTCCAGCTCCTGAACACTCCTGGCACACCCTAGGGCTGTCATTCCACTGTTGGCCCTGTCATTCCAGCTCCTGAACACTCCTGGCACACCCTAGGGCTGTCATTCCACTGTTGGCCCTGTCATTCCAGCTCCTGAACACTCCTGGCACACCCTAGGGCTGTCATTCCACTGTTGGCCCTGTCATTCCAGCTCCTGAACACTCCTGGCACACCCTAGGGCTGTCATTCCACTGTTGGCCCTGTCATTCCAGCTCCTGAACACTCCTGGCACACCCTAGGGCTGTCATTCCACTGTTGGCCCTGTCATTCCAGCTCCTGAACACTCCTGGCACACCCTAGGGCTGTCATTCCACTGTTGGCCCTGTCATTCCAGCTCCTGAACACTCCTGGCACACCCTAGGGCTGTCATTCCACTGTTGGCCCTGTCATTCCAGCTCCTGAACACTCCTGGCACACCCTAGGGCTGTCATTCCACTGTTGGCCCTGTCATTCCAGCTCCTGAACACTCCTGGCACACCCTAGGGCTGTCATTCCACTGTTGGCCCTGTCATTCCAGCTCCTGAACACTCCTGGCACACCCTAGGGCTGTCATTCCACTGTTGGCCCTGTCATTCCAGCTCCTGAACACTCCTGGCACACCCTAGGGCTGTCATTCCACTGTTGGCCCTGTCATTCCAGCTCCTGAACACTCCTGGCACACCCTAGGGCTGTCATTCCACTGTTGGCCCTGTCATTCCAGCTCCTGAACACTCCTGGCACACCCTAGGGCTGTCATTCCACTGTTGGCCCTGTCATTCCAGCTCCTGAACACTCCTGGCACACCCTAGGGCTGTCATTCCACTGTTGGCCCTGTCATTCCAGCTCCTGAACACTCCTGGCACACCCTAGGGCTGTCATTCCACTGTTGGCCCTGTCATTCCAGCTCCTGAACACTCCTGGCACACCCTAGGGCTGTCATTCCACTGTTGGCCCTGTCATTCCAGCTCCTGAACACTCCTGGCACACCCTAGGGCTGTCATTCCACTGTTGGCCCTGTCATTCCAGCTCCTGAACACTCCTGGCACACCCTAGGGCTGTCATTCCACTGTTGGCCCTGTCATTCCAGCTCCTGAACACTCCTGGCACACCCTAGGGCTGTCATTCCACTGTTGGCCCTGTCATTCCAGCTCCTGAACACTCCTGGCACACCCTAGGGCTGTCATTCCACTGTTGGCCCTGTCATTCCAGCTCCTGAACACTCCTGGCACACCCTAGGGCTGTCATTCCACTGTTGGCCCTGTCATTCCAGCTCCTGAACACTCCTGGCACACCCTAGGGCTGTCATTCCACTGTTGGCCCTGTCATTCCAGCTCCTGAACACTCCTGGCACACCCTAGGGCTGTCATTCCACTGTTGGCCCTGTCATTCCAGCTCCTGAACACTCCTGGCACACCCTAGGGCTGTCATTCCACTGTTGGCCCTGTCATTCCAGCTCCTGAACACTCCTGGCACACCCTAGGGCTGTCATTCCACTGTTGGCCCTGTCATTCCAGCTCCTGAACACTCCTGGCACACCCTAGGGCTGTCATTCCACTGTTGGCCCTGTCATTCCAGCTCCTGAACACTCCTGGCACACCCTAGGGCTGTCATTCCACTGTTGGCCCTGTCATTCCAGCTCCTGAACACTCCTGGCACACCCTAGGGCTGTCATTCCACTGTTGGCCCTGTCATTCCAGCTCCTGAACACTCCTGGCACACCCTAGGGCTGTCATTCCACTGTTGGCCCTGTCATTCCAGCTCCTGAACACTCCTGGCACACCCTAGGGCTGTCATTCCACTGTTGGCCCTGTCATTCCAGCTCCTGAACACTCCTGGCACACCCTAGGGCTGTCATTCCACTGTTGGCCCTGTCATTCCAGCTCCTGAACACTCCTGGCACACCCTAGGGCTGTCATTCCACTGTTGGCCCTGTCATTCCAGCTCCTGAACACTCCTGGCACACCCTAGGGCTGTCATTCCACTGTTGGCCCTGTCATTCCAGCTCCTGAACACTCCTGGCACACCCTAGGGCTGTCATTCCACTGTTGGCCCTGTCATTCCAGCTCCTGAACACTCCTGGCACACCCTAGGGCTGTCATTCCACTGTTGGCCCTGTCATTCCAGCTCCTGAACACTCCTGGCACACCCTAGGGCTGTCATTCCACTGTTGGCCCTGTCATTCCAGCTCCTGAACACTCCTGGCACACCCTAGGGCTGTCATTCCACTGTTGGCCCTGTCATTCCAGCTCCTGAACACTCCTGGCACACCCTAGGGCTGTCATTCCACTGTTGGCCCTGTCATTCCAGCTCCTGAACACTCCTGGCACACCCTAGGGCTGTCATTCCACTGTTGGCCCTGTCATTCCAGCTCCTGAACACTCCTGGCACACCCTAGGGCTGTCATTCCACTGTTGGCCCTGTCATTCCAGCTCCTGAACACTCCTGGCACACCCTAGGGCTGTCATTCCACTGTTGGCCCTGTCATTCCAGCTCCTGAACACTCCTGGCACACCCTAGGGCTGTCATTCCACTGTTGGCCCTGTCATTCCAGCTCCTGAACACTCCTGGCACACCCTAGGGCTGTCATTCCATTCCGTGGCCCTGTCATTCCAGCTCCTGAACACTCCTGGCACACCCTAGGGCTGTCATTCCACTGTTGGCCCACTCATCCCAGCTCCTGTACACTCCTGGCACACCCTAGGGCTGTCATTCCAATCCGTGGCCCTGTCATTCCAGCTCCTGAACACTCCTGGCACACCCTAGGGCTGTCATTCCACTGTTGGCCCTGTCATTCCAGTCTCCTGAACACTCCTGGCACACCCTAGGGCTGTCATTCCAATCCGTGGCCCTGTCATTCCAGTTCCTGGACACTCCTGCTCCACCCTGGGCCTTTATTCCACTCCGTGGCCTCTCATCCCTGTCCCAGAACACTCCTGGCACACCCTTCGGCTGTCATTCCACTTCGTGGCCTCTCCTTCCATCCCCGGAGTAGTGTATTTGGGCCCAGAGACCCTAATGGAAAATCCATTCCGCATTTTTATTGCAACTCTACTTGTACTCTAATGTTTTCTAATGGAGCCCATGCAAGTCAATTGGCATTCCAGGCTCCCATTATTTCCAATGGGTCTTCCAGCGTCTCCCATTGTTTCCAATGGGCAATCCTCTCCTTCCTTTTAGTACATCCCCTATTGGGGTTCCCCTCCCCTCAAGCTCCCTTGTTGTGTCTCCCCCCCTTTCCTTTGTATCTTCACAACAACCCTGTGAGGTAGGGGTGGCTGAGAAGGATGCTGGTGGCACAAGGGTGCCCCAGCGACCTTTAGAGCTGAGGGGAGATCTGAACCTGCTCCCAGCTTTTAACCATCAGGTCGCTGTTGGCTCTCAAAGGCTGTATTCACACCCAGCTATTTATTTTATTTATTTATTTATTTATTTGGATTTCTATCCCGCCCTCCCCATAGGCTCAGGGCGGCTCACAGAGGCATAACGCCAGATAAAACAATAAAACAGTTGGATATCGCTATGGAGGGTTGCCACCTCCAGGTTAAGAAATTCCTGGAGGTTTTTTTTGGGGGGGTGGAGCCTGGGGGTAGAGGTGTTTGGGGAGGGGAGGGACCTCGGGCAGGGTATAGTGCCATAAAAGTAGCCATTTTCTCCATGGAAAACTGAGTTTGCTCACCAATTAATCTGGCAGAGATCAGTTCCCCATATGTCCCCCAAAGAGCACTGAGGTCAGGGTCGCAAAATCGCCTGACTCTCCCTGGTCCGAAAGACGCCAGATTGGCCGCTACCAGAGCCAGGGCCTTCTCAGTGGCGGCTCCACACTGGTGGAACCAGCTCCCGGAAGACATCAGGGCCCTGCAGGACCTTTTACAGTTCCGCAGGGCCTGTAAGACATCACTCTTCCACCAGGCCTTCGATTAGGAGCCGCCACTGAGGAATGAGCTATTAAAAACTGAACTGCTACGGCCCTTATGCTATTGACACTAAGAACAACTATGGATCCTGGTTTAGCTACTTTTGGACCACCATACTGTAATCGCCATCTGCACTTAATTTCACTTTGCGTGAGTATTGTTTTTACATGAATTTTATAATATTGCACTTATGCATTTGTGTTTTATTGTATTTTAACTTGTTGTACACCGCCTTGAGCCTGCCTGTGCAGGAAAGGCTGGTTATAAATCGAGAATAAATGTAAAAAAGTTGACAGGGATCAGCTCCCCTGGAGAAAATGGCTGCACTGAAGGGTGGACTCCATGGCATTGCACCACGCTGAGGCCCCTTCCCCTCCCCAAACCCCACCCTCTCCTGGATCCAACAAAACTGAAACCTTTTTTCTTTTCTTGTGACAATAGCACCTCCTAAAGGAAGAAATTCATCTTGTTCTTGCATTGGAGAGTTCAGTTTGTAACCTAGGACTTGCTTGCCCTCAGTTCACAGTGCACAAAAATTAGATCAATCTAATACCATACATATTTTTTAGAAATGATTTGGAAAACATTTCAACACCTTGTCTTAAAATATTCATCATCATGTTAAAATAAAACGTTCCATAATCATTTTTTTTTCTTTTCTTTTTTCAATTTTTTGGGAAAAAACAAAAAAGGCTTCAAGAAAAAAGCGGAAAACCCGGTTCCCCCTCCAAATTTTTCCGTTTTTTTTTTCCGGGCCTTCACATCTCTAGTCGTCACTGACTGCATTTCCAGATGTCTTCTTGCCCCATGACACTGGCTGTATGGAATGGCCTCCAGGTGGCAAGCCAGGGCAGCCTGTAATGTAGTAAGAGACTTCCTCAGAAGACAGACACAGACTAGTGCAGTGGTCCACCAGTGGGCACTTTTAGAAAAATGTCTGTCACAGGAGGCGGAGCCAATCACAAAATGTCAGGGAGTGAGGTCACGCGTCCCTCTGACTGTAGCTCTTCAAGCGTTTCAGGCAGGAACTCTGTTCATCAGGATGCTTTTTTATTTATTTGTTTATTTAATTTATATTCCACTCTCAGAGCGGCTTGCGCGGAGACATTTAATAACAAAGAAAGCCAGGATTCATGGAGACATTCAAACATACCCATTCACATTTTGTTCTCTGCTGTTTACTTTGCAACTTGACTAATCCTGAAGATGTTGCTACGGATAGATGTACCTGCCACTGCTACACCATAGCCATCTGCACCGATATACCCCTAGCATAGCTGTATTATGGCCAGGGAATAAACGCGTTTCAGCCCCTAAGGGCCTTCCTCAGTGGTCACTATTATCTATATATTTTAGACACCCATTCAAAGACCTGTTACAGAGTTTTAGTACACATATAATTAAACCGGATGTTGTTTCCTTGTATACTTATAATTGGACTCCTGGTATTAGTGATGGGCCATAGGTATAGCCATATCACCTCCACAACTTATTCTGGTAACAGCGATTTTGTAGGTCTGAATGTGTGTTTATCAAGGTGAAAATTTTTGGTTCATAGTCATATCCTGGGTTGAGTTTTATCCCCCCCCCCTTTTTTTTCCAGTTTATGGCCAGGGAAGTCATCACAGACTGTCGGCTCCTGCCTCTTGGATTTAAACGCTAATATTACGTGTACCTCTAGCATCTACCCGTGCACACAGTGGTCTCCATAGTCTTGACATATACAAACATACTTCTGAAAGGATAGCTACCATGTTTTAATTTCAACAGAAAATGAATGGAACAAAAAAAGAAACATTTATTGTTTTTTTAAAAAGATTATTGTATACAGGCAAATATGCCTATGGAGCTTGCTAAGAAACTCTCATCTTGCAGTGTCTGTCAGAGCTCCAGTGGCCAATCAGAAGCTCTGCTGGCACCACCCGGTCACACCCACACCCTGGCAGATACCAGGAAGGGCACCTTGGCGCCCATGGGGACCACGTTGGGGACCCCTGGACTAGTGTCTCGTTCGGCCATGGTGACGGCCAAGAGAATCGTTTTGCTGCAGAACCGAAGAGACAGGGCTGGCGATGGTCCTTGTGCCTTGCTTTATTGTGTATTCCATTTGCTTTTCAGCTGGCTGAACATGGCCTCTGTTGACACCCGCAGAATGTTCAGACCTGCCTCTCCACAACAGGCATGGCTGTGAGCGAAAGTGAAGGCCAGTGAGGTGAGTGTTACCGGGGGTGGGGCTGGAGCTAGTTCTGGTATTATTGGTGAACTCCTTCAGAACTCCTGTCCCTTCACATCCCAGAATTGTAAGAACATAAGAAGAGCCCTGCTTGGTCAGACCAATAGTCCATCTAGTCCAGCCTCCTGTCTCACTCAGTGGCCAGCCAGTTCCTCTGGAGGGCCAACAGCAGGGCAGAGAGGCCGAGGCCTTCCCCTGGTAAGAACATCAGAAGAGCCCTGCTGGATCAGACCAGTGAGGGTCCATCTAGTCCAGCACCCTGTCTCACACAGTGGACAACCAGTTCCTCTGGCCAACAGCAGGGCAGAGGCCGAGGCCTTCCCCTGGTAAGAACATCAGAAGAGCCCTGCTGGATCAGACCAGTGAGGGTCCCTCTAGTCCAGCATCATGTCTCACACAGGGGCCAGCCAGTTCCTCTGGAGGGCCAGCAACAGGGCAGAGAGGCCGAGGCCTTCCCCTCTGATAAGAACCTAAGAAGAGCCCTGCTGGATCAGACCAGTGAGGGTCCCTCTAGTCCATCCTCCTGTCTCACACAGTGGACAACCAGTTCCTCTGGAGGGCCAACAGCAGGGCAGAGAGGCCGAGGCCTTCCCCTGATGTTGCCTCCTGCCTTTGGGATCCAGAGGATTAGTGCCCCTGAATGTAGAAGTTCTCCTCAGCCGCCGTGGCTAATAGCCACAGATAGACCTATCCTCCATGAATCTACCTAATCCCCTTTTAAGGCTGTTTATTCCTGTGGCCATCACTGCATCCTCTAGCATCGAATTCCACATTCGAATCACTCTCTGTGTTAAGTAGTATTTCCTTTCGTCCGTCCTGAACCTACTGCCTGTCATCTTCATTGCATGCCCTTGAGTTCTAGCATTTTGGGAGAGGGAGAAAAATTTCCGTCAACTCTCTCCACCCCACGCATAGTTTGATAAACCTCGATCGTGTCCCCCGTCCCCCTTAGTCATCTCTTTTCTAAACCAAAAAGTCCCAGACGCTTTAGCGTTTCCTCATAGGGAAGGTGCTCCATCCCCTTAATCATTTTGGTTGCCCTCCTCTAGGGGGCGGTAACAACACACTGAGGACTAATTCCCACAGATTCATCCTGCTAATGGGGATCATAGATGGGAACTAAAGACCATGCAGCCCAGCTCCCTGCACCAGGCAGGATGGCCTGAAGAATTCCTGACAACGGGTCATTTCGTAGAAAAAGAGGTGCAGGAGCGCATTAGCATAACTCATTAGCATAACTTATTTGCATATGCCACACCCCCTGACATCACCGGAAGTGTGTCAGAAGGCAACACCCACCGCTCAGGCTCCACTGGACTGTTTTAGATTGCTAGCTATTGGGGGGGGGGGGAACGTGCAGATCTGTCCTGGCAGAGGAGGGAGAGCTTGTACCTGAATAAAACTTGGTCTTAAAGGTGCCACTGGACTGTTTTGGACCGGGGGGGGGGGCTCTGCAACTTACCTGGCTGCTTCTTGCTCTGACTGAGGGCTGCTGGGAGCAGGGGGTGGGGCTTGTTGCATGTGCCCGCCCCCTGGGCTCTTTACTGCCGGAGCTCCGCTCCTGTGCGCTCCTGCAGGAAATGACCCCTGCCTGACAAAGAACTCTCCAACCGCCATTTCAACACCTCCATGTAGGGAGAGCCCACAACATCCCTGGGCAATCGATTCCACCACTAAACTACCCTTATTGTCAATGCTTTCCCCATCACAAAAAATCTTCCTTTGTCTCAGAAGTAAGCACGGCATCCGCTCGGCCTGCAGAAGGCCCCAGGTTCAATCCCCAGGTATTTCCAGTTTAAATCAGGTACTGAGTGATGTGAAAGACCTCCACCACTTGGGGCCCTGCTGCTAGTTAATCGTATGCAGGATTACCTGGATCGATCAGTGGCCTGGCCCAGTAGAAAGCCACTTCAGGAGACCTACCTGAGATCTTTGAACCTGGAATCCCACTTAGTAACGGGGGAGTTGCTTTCTAAGCCAGCCGATGCATCAAGCGGACTTCACGGGCAGCCCCTGCATAACATATGGTAGTAATCTATCATACTAATGATTGCTGTCCCTCCTTCTAGTGTTGTGTATGTGTTTAATTGAACTATTTTATAATTATATCATTTTCACTGTATTTTTAATCGCTAAACGGTTTGTGTTTTGTTTTGTTTTTAATGTTTTTATGCTGGACTGGGTGGACTACTGGTCTGATCCAGTAGGGCCCTTCTTATTAGGTTTAGGACAGACAAATGGAAATGCCACTTTACACAGAGAGTGATAAAGGTGTGGAACTGGCTGCCAGAGGATGCAGTGATGGCCTCAGGAATAAACAGCTTTAAAAGGGGATTAGGTAGATTCATGGAGGATATCAGTGGCTACTAGCCATGGTGATGACTGAGGGGAACCTCCACATTCAGAGGCACGAACCCCCTGAATCCCAGAGCATCAGGTGTGAGAGAGGATGCCGGACTAGATGGACCACTAGTCTGATCCAGCAGGGCTCTTCTTAGGTCCTTATGAACGCCTCAGCCTCTCTGCCCTGAAGAGGAACTGGCTGTGTGAGACAGGAGGCTGGACTCGATGGACCCTTACAGGTCTGACCCAGCAGGGCTCTTCTTATGTTCTTATCAATGGCTACTAGCCATGGTGACTGAGGGAAACCCCCACATTCAAAGACAGTAACCCAGAGGCAGCCTCAGGGGAAGGCCTCGGCCTCTCTGCCCTGCTGTTGGCTCTCTGGAGGAACTGGCTGGCCACTGGGTGAGACAGGAGGCTGGACTAGATGGGCCCTCACTGGTCTGATCCAACAGGGCTCTTCTGTAGTTCTTATCGGGACGGCTTCAGCCTCTCTGCCCTGCTGTTGGCTCTCTGGAGGAACTGGCTGGCCACTGGGTGAGACAGGAGGCTGGACTAGATGGGCCCTCACTGGTCTGATCCAACAGGGCTCTTCTGTAGTTCTTATCGGGACGGCTTCAGCCTCTCTGCCCTGCTGTTGGCTCTCTGGAGGAACTGGCTGGCCACTGGGTGAGACAGGAGGCTGGACTAGATGGGCCCTCACTGGTCTGATCCAACAGGGCTCTTCTGTAGTTCTTATCGGGACGGCTTCAGCCTCTCTGCCCTGCTGTTGGCTCTCTGGAGGAACTGGCTGGCCACTGTGTGAGACAGGATGCCGGACTAGATGGACTACTGGTCTGACCCAGCAGGGCTCTTCTTATGTACACTGCCTCGTGGACCCTTGGTGGAAAGGCAGCATGAAACATTTTAAATAAATATATTAAATAAATGATCTAGCTCAAATGTTATCAGGAGATGGATGCAAAGATTACTCAACCCAGGTGTGCTGCGGGCACCAAATGGTTACCCAGTCCGACGCTACCACAGGATGTCCATTTATTTTGTTTGGTTTGTTTATACCCCACCTTCCTCCCTGGTGGGGACCCAGAGCAGCTTCCGTTGTTCGCCTCTCCTCCATCTTATCCTCACAACAGCCCTGTGAGGTAGGTGAAGCCGAGAGAGCGTGGCTGGTCCAAAGTCACCCATCAAGCTTCCACGGCACAATTGGGGATTCGAACCCGGGCCTCCCAGGTACTAGTCTGACGGTCTTAAGGGCTACGCCACACAGGGTTTCTTGTCGGTGAGCCTAGATCCACCAGGGGCGGGCAAATTCCGCTCACGACATTGTCGTCCCCCCCCTTACAATGTTTTACTTTTCATACTTAGAAACGAAGGGCACCGATTCACACATCTTGCAGAAAGCAGCCCTGGATCAGGGCCTCCTCACTGCGCCCTCTCGGCGCGTCTCCCTGCACAGCCCCTCCTTCTGTGCGGCCGGTTCCCGGGCTTGGCGTGACCGAATGTCGGGAACTGGCTTTTATGGAGACGGAGAGATCCGGGGGATGAACTTGGTTATTGCGAAAAAGCTGGGAACAAAGGGAGCTGTGTTAATTCCGCCAGCTCCCCCCCATGCAAGGGAGGCTTTATTCCTTCGAGGGGAGGACGGACGGAGGCGGGGAAGTGGGGGAGGGCTGCAGAGAGACAATTGTTCCTTTTTTGAAAAAATGAAGCCTCGGAAACGAGAGGCTTGATCTAAACAAGATTAAAGTACAGCGGCTCTCCCCCGCCGGTCTGCCACACGGGGGAAGACGGGTGGTCATTTTAACCCATTTTTTAAAAAGATGTCGAGGGGTCGCCTTCATTGGCGCTTTCCCTTTCGTTCTCTTCGGCCTCCTCCCTACTGCAGGTTGAAGCCTAGGGACATCGTGGGCAGCAGGGAGGGAAAGAAGCCGGGGGCCGATTTCTCTCCTCTGCTCCACCCTTCTCAGAGAGACACCTGGGCTAGGAAATTGATAACCTACCAGTGTGATTTCTGTTCTTTCACACACATTGGGGGGAACCCAATCAACAGTCTACATCAGGAAAGACAAACGCTATCTTCTTCAGCAAAGGATCTTCTTGCAGCATAG